CCCCCAGGAGTGTCTGCACAGGTTCTGCTCCAACTGTATTGTCACCTCCCTCAGGAGTGGATATGTCACCTCCCTGTGTCATTGTCACCCCCTGTGTCCCCCCCTGGCCCCCCAGGAGTGTCTGCACAGGTTCTGCCCCGACTGTATCATCACTGCACTCAGGAGCGGGGCTGTGACACCCCTGGCACCTCCCCCTGTCACCCCCTGTGTCACCTCTGTCACCTCTGTCACCTCCCCCCATGTCACCTCAGTGTCCCTGTGCCCCCTCAGTGTCCCTGTGTCACCTCAGTGTCCCCTGTGTCACCCCTGTGCCACCTCAGTGTCTCCTCTGCCATCTCTGTGCCACCTCAGTGTCCCCTGTGTCACCTCTGTGTCACCTCTGTGCCACCTCCATGTCCCGTGTCCCCCGTGTCCCCTCAGTGTCCCTGTGTCACCTGTGCCACCCCTGGTGCCACCTCTGCCACCTCTGTGTCCCCTTTCCCCTTTTCCCTCCCCTTTTTTCCCTCCCCTCTCCCCATTTCCCTTCTCCAACTGACTCCTCCCTCCTCCCCTGTTTCCCCCCTCCCTCCTGGTTGATTCCCAGGAACAAGGAGTGTCCGACGTGCCGGAAGAAGTTGGTTTCCAAGCGTTCCCTGCGGCCGGATCCCAATTTTGACGCTCTGATCTCCAAGATTTACCCGAGTCGGGACGAGTACGAGGCCCACCAGGATCGGGTGCTGGCCAAGCTCAGCCGCCTCCACAACCAGCAGGCCCTCAGCAGCAGCATCGAGGAGGGGCTCAAGATGCAGGCCATGCACAGGTAGGGATGGAATTCCCGGGATTCCGGAGGGTTTCCCAAAAATTCCGGCTTGTTCGGGGGAATTCGCTGAAAATCGCGGTGAAACGGCACAAAATTGGGGGTAAAATCGCCCAAAATGAGTCCAGAATTGAGGGAAATCCACCCCAAATCACCTTCAAAATCATTCCCAGATATTCCTGAATTCCCAAATCCATGCAAATTCCTCAGAATTCCAGCCTGTTCCCACAGAATTCCCAGAAAATTGCAGTGAAAAGGCCTGAAATTACAGGAAAAATCCCCCCAAATGTGCCCGAAATCGAGGCAGATCCACCCCAAATCACCCTCAAAATCATTCCCAGATATTCCTGAATTCCCAAATCCACATGAATTCCACAGAATTCCAGCCCGTTCCCACAGAATTCCCAGAAAATTGCAGGGAAATGGCCCCAAATCGTGGGGGAAAAACGGCCCAAAATTGAGGCGGATCCACCCCAAATCACCCTCAAAATCATTCCCAGATATTCCTGAATTCCCAAATCCATGCAAATTCCACAGAATTCCATCCCATTCCCACAAAATTCCTGGAAAATTGCAGTGAAACGGCCCCTAATTGCAGGAAAATTCCCCCTAAATGAGTCCAAAATCAAGGCAAATCCACCCCAAGTCACCCTCAAAATCACCCCTGGATATTCCCAAATCCCATCCAAACCCTCCCAAATCCTATCCAAACCCTCCCAAAATCCCCAAATCCCATCCAAATCCCCCCAAGTCCCATCAGAAACCTCCCAAATCCCATGAAACTCACCCCAAATCCCATCAGAAACCCCTCAAAATCCCCAAATCCCATCAAAACACTCCCAAAATCCCCAAATCCCACCCAAATCCCATCAGAAACCTCCCAATTCCCATGAAACCCACCCAAAATCCCCAAATCCTTCCAAACCCTCCCAAAATCCCCAAATCCCATCCAAACCCCCCCAAAATCCCCAAATCCCCCCAAATCTTTCCAAATCTCATTAAAATTCCCATAAATCCCATCGAAAGCCTTCCCAAATCCCATCAACCCCCCTCAATCCTAAAATATCCCCGATATCCCAAAATCTCCCTCATTTAGAGCCCCAAACCCCCCGTTTTTGCCCGGATTCAGCTCCTTTTTCCCCTTTTTCCCCATTTCCCTGTTTTTTCTGGCAGCATTCCTGATTTCCAACATCCCCAAATCCTCCCCAAATCCTTCCAAACCTCATTAA